TTATGGTTCTCAACCAAAGCCGTTGGCTCAATAGCCTGTACCGCAAGGCATCGGGTGGGTGGCATTGTACCAGAACTGGTGCATTTTCCGGAAAGATGCCAACCTTCTTCCAACCACCAACCTGGAGTACCAGGAGACTGTGGTTTGTCAGACTTCTATCTGTTGGCCTGCCTGGCATGAGTGACTCTATCGAGATGAGCAACTCGTCACACCGCGTCAAGGTCCAGTCTTGTTGTCACAGGCTTGCTGACCGACTTGTCGGAAAGTGCGGACAATGGAAGCGCCAATTTTTACCAGTTGTCATGGCCTCTGAAAACATTTATCACCCGAAGGCACATGGAAGGTAGAAGATTTAGGAAGAAAAGTGGTAGAAGGAAGTTGTGCTGAGTGAATAATGCCACTGTCCGGAGGACGACAACTGACGCTCTCCGGTCGTTTATACCGCGGAAGGGGATTGACTTGAGGGACTCCACCCCGAGTCTGTAGCTCAGAAGTCTGACCTGCGAGACAACAGGATACAGGGTTTTCTTGGGGGATCCTTCCCGGAGCCAATGACTCAATAGCCTGACTCACTTGGCAGCTAAGGGCTTGCCTAGCCCGAGGGCATGGTGAATAAGGCTGATTCTGAGTACTGCTAGGCGCAGTGAATGTACTGGAAGCTCACATCAGGCTTTTGGGTGAGACAAATTGTTTTTCGACCGTGCTGGATAATACGCCGGCTGTAATGACCAACCGTTGGGGGATCGGAATGCTCTTTTTTGAAGTTACCTTTTCTAACTCACTTCCTGATACAAAAGGCAGTAGTGACGCAACTACAAAGAATAGTCTTGCTGTGTGCCCATAGGATCGTGCCTCGCTGCCTAAACATTCTTACGCGTTCAGTAGTGCGACATACAATCCTATGAGTGTAACTACTTTTCGTCTGACTGCTTCTCTTTGACCTCTCTGACAAGGTTACATCTAGATGCACGGGGATCCTAGTCAGCATAGCCTGTCCGCTAAAAGCAGCACATAAACACGAACACCACGTCAACGTAGCAGTATAGGTCAGGGCTTTTTCTTAAATCCCCTCCCTTACAGGCGCTTCAATGTGGTGCACTTATTTATGTACTGACTTTCAACAGCGGTCTTGTCGGTATGCCTTAGGTGCATGATAAGTTAATGCGTGGGATTCCATCGAGTGCTTTTTTGCTTGCCATTTTTTGTTTCGCCAGTAAAGTAGCGTTGATATAACGCTTCAGGTGTTCCAACTCTCTACGGTGCCGCAATTACCCTCCTAGAAGACAGCGGTTAGGGTTACGCCATCATCATCATCATAACAGCCATGAGTCTGACCAAATGGTACTGTGGCTCGGGCCACCGCTCACCTCAACAGTGACGTGGAATATCCTAGAAGAAAA